GGGGGGTGGGCACGGGACTCCAACATGGATGTTGGAGGAATTGGGCTCGGGGCTCGCAAACTCGCTTGCTCGCAGCACAGCCTGTGCAGGCTCGGAGCCTATCGGCCATGGATAGTATCAGCTACACAGGCTGGGGCTCGAGTTTCCAGAGTTTTTCAGTCTTGGGCTGCTTTGCTGAAGTTCCCAGATCTTGGCTAGTGTAGGCCGTAGATCATTTAAAGAGCGTGTTTTATACGGAGGGACGAACACTTTTTATTAGTTTTTTTTTTTTAACCTGACCATTCAAAGTTCTTGACTTTTCCAGACTGCTACAACTTTGCATCAGCTTTTCCTGAGTAGGGTTAAGTGAAACAGTTGGAGGCTATGGAAATTTAGAAGTTAACAATTGGCTAGAGTATAGGTCTCAGAAACAAAAAGCACGTGAGTCATTTTGTTTATATGCATGTTAGTGCACTCCATCCTTAGAGTTGAATATGGTTGGCAAAATTGAAATTTATGATTACTTCGATTAGCATTTGTTGGGGTTCTTTTGGAAATTTTAGAATAACTAGGGCATGGAGAGGAACTGGAAGTCTTATGTGAAGACTGTATAAAATTAGATGCTGTAGGCAACGTGAGTTTTACATTTGTGTGGATCATTGCTTTTTTTTTAAGCCTAAGGTGAACACACTTCTCGAGACTAATTTTTTTTTTTTAGAGGTGTGTTATAGGAATCGATTTATGTAGTGGCAGTTTGGATTGTCACTGTTGGAAAAGTTTGCTATTGCTAGTTTTTGCACTGTGTTAGTAAATAGATAATTTCAGTCTTATACTATGGACATTGGGAGTGTTTTTAATGTCTTGTACTTTTTGGAGCAGATTAAAATGTAAAAAGCTTTTCAGAAAATTAGTTTTAAACAAACATGGGCGGATTAGCAAACTTTTAAAGTAGGTTATAGTACCCCAGTTCCAAAATGCCAGAATAAGTTTATTGGTTACTTTAGTAAACCACTACAGAAGTAAAATTGAAAAACAAACTTTAATATTTTAAATGCAGCAGACTTTTCTTGTAACTACCAAAGTCTAGAAATGCCTTACAGATGGGGGGGGGAATGGTGGCAAGAAGGCTAGGGGTAAAAACATGTATTTTAGTCTCATTCAGGATTAGCAATGTTTCCTTGCTTCTTTAAGATTCTCTGATGTATCAGGTCACTACCAAGAACACATTTCCTGCCAGATGAGCATGAATAATCTGAGCTCATTAATAGTAATAATAATATGAAAATTCAGTTTTGTTAGAGAACCCTCAAACTTGGCTTTTTTGGGGGGCATGTTTGTTACTTGATCAGTCTCAGAGTTTTTTCAATTTCTCATTTTGAGCAAAGTTGAAAAAAACTGAGCTGAATGTTGAATAAGCTGAAAAACATGAGCTCTCTGTGTATTTTTGTCTAAACATTAATGGAAAAATGAAAGTTAATTTCCAGTTTAAAAGTGATTCAAAATTTTTTGGAACATTTCAGAGAATAAACTAATTCAAATGAATTCATTGGGATACTTGCAACATTTAAAGCTATACTGAGATAAATATGTCTTCAGTACTCTTAGATTACTGGAGATCACTGGAGGACTTTAGTGTCTTGAGAGTTGCATTAAAAAGCTGTGGAGTATTTTCAGATTTATATCAAAACTGGAAGTGCTGAATCAGAGTTAACTTAAACCCTTCGCCCAGCTGCCTCACTGCTTCATTACTGTGATACCTTTCTCAGATCTGTGAGACAGCACTGATGTACTGCTGAGAGCTGTAGATCTTATTTGAGTTCTGCCAGTGTTTCCATTAATGTCCATTCTCTGATCTAGGTTCTAATCAAAGGTAGCTAACAAATGTGTCTAAAGTCAAGTGCAGGTATTGAACCTAATGCAAGTTTAGCTTGGTATTTCAAGATGAAAACTACTAAGGACTTGTTTAAATACTATTTTGAGTTTGGAACTTGTTATAAGAGAGGATCCTGCCAAGGGTGTTTGTGCAGCTAAAGATTGACAGGCGCAGTTCCACCTGTAATGTCCTCTAGTATGGACATCCAAAGACGCTGAAACAAGGCTCCTTTGTTTGCACTGCTAATACTTAGGAAGTATGAAATCTCTGCATATATTCAATTAACTTGTCCAATTTATATGCTTGAACTTACTTCATTTGTACTTAGTGAAATAAACTATACAAGCAAACCTTATGAAAATCACTGGTTTAAGTTAGATTTAGTGTTCATTAGTTTTGCAGGTAAATGCTGACACATTTAAAAGGTGAATACTAACTCCTTTCTAGTAGGCTGTTTTGCCATTAAGACCTACAGTGCTTGCCTAGCAATTGCAAAGCCTTGCCTTCCGTTTCTTCCCCCTCCCCCAACCCTTACCCACATTGGGGGTGGGGACGACCCTACAGTGTCATTGAAGTTTGAGTTCTAATTGAAGTTTTTCTTCAGTATCTGCCCAAGAATGTTATGGTTTACTCCACTTTAATTTCACACCTGTTCTGGTTTTTAGAAAGCCACTTATGGGGTCTGAGAAATTCATCGTTCTTTCAAAATTCATTGAGAATTTTTTTTTTCTTTTCCACTGCTACAATCTAAGAAGACAGATCCTGTTTTTTGTTTGTTTGTTTTGTTTTTCCTTCAATCTTTCTGTCATTTTTATGCCCAGTTGCATTGGAGAGTGCCCTTGTCATGAATTGCTATAGCAGCATCATTGGGAGTGCCATCACCCCCCAGGGCTTCTGTAGGCTATGGTCCTTTTTACTTTGTGTGTGAAAATACACACTTCTTAAATGCCAACTTTGATATTAGATAATGTCTTCTTTATTTTCTTGTAAGAATCTTAGAGTGACTGAAAAAATGTTGGCTTAGTTTTATTTGGAAACTTCCATAGAGCCTTATCTGACACCTAAAGCAGCCCAAGCTCTCCACTGTTCACCTACTGTTTCCATGGCACTTCCGGTTACTGTCTTTGGTATTAGATGGATTTCTGATTTATCACTTGTCCATTTAGTATTTAGTGTACTTGATCTTTTTCATTGGTATGTTGATAGAACTTGCATGAAGGAAAGGGCTTCAGACTTAAGTCTTTGTAGATTTTGAGCTATCTAGAACTTGCTTAGTGGAGTTGTATAAATAGGTTTAAAATTGTTTTATAGTTTTTTGGCGACTAATATCTCAAAGTTTGTTTTACTAGTGATTTCTTTCATTCTATATACACTTCCTATAATTTTCTTTTGAGTGATTTGAAACTAATACATTTATTCAGAAAGTGTAAATTGATCTTACTTTGTTCCAGGTATCTAATGGATGTTTTTTAAGTCTGATATCATAGTTTTAATAATTAATGATAACTTTGCATATATGTGTGTGTACGTGAGTGCACAGAGTTTGTTTTTCTTTTCCCCTTTACACAGTCTTGAGCCTCCTGCCAAGTATTTGGTTTATAGGTATAAACCACTGACCTAGCCCTAATACTTTCTTAAAATTGCTTTTCACTTTAGCATTATTCACAAAACTCTTAATTTATCATTTTATGTTTGATGTACAGTCTACCCCTTCATTTAACTGAGTTTACTGTGGGAAGCTTAGCTCTGAAGAGGTGACATGGATAATATTTGGGTGGACTTGGACACTTGAGTAGCTGTGTTTATTTTCAAGGAACTTGTTGACTAGAAAGATGTTCACTAATGGTTAAATAGCTCCTTTATTACTCTTGTGAGAAATTATCAATCAGTATGTCATATATTTGTCATTTTATTTTGAAAACAAATGGACAAAATAACAGTTTTGTAAAATTAGCTTATGATAGTATTATTCCTCTATAAACTCTAAGAATATTTGTGAATTTAGTGTAAAGTACTGTATTCCTATATAAACCCTAAGAATATTTGTGAATTTAGTATAAAGTACTGTATTTCTCTATAAATCCTAAGAATGTTTGTGAATTTCATACAAGCTAAAAATTTGACAGTTAATCCTCAATTGAACAATAACTTAAGATGATGAATGGATTTTATTTTATGCAGATAAAATAGGCTAAATTTCAGTTTTCTTAAAATGCTGAGAGACTGAAATAAAAATTGTATTGTAATGTTAGAAAAGATTATTTATGGTTATAATTTCAGTTCCAAGTCAAAATTGAACCAAAAGTGACTTCAGTGCTTGACCCTCTATATAAACATTGACGACTAGTTTAAGTGTGTCTTAGTGCGTGCTTGGAGGTTTGTCGTGGGTCCAGTTTCTTCATTTATTTTCTTCTGCATTTATTTCAGTCTCCTTTATTGGGCCTTTAGTTTATCTCTATAAAATACAGATGTGATTGCACCAATCACTTGCTTATACACATTTTATAGTTCTCATTTACTATCTACAGAATAAAGTCCAAACGATTTAGCATGATCTACAAAGCCATTTACAAGTCTTGACAGGAGTATCTGCTTGTATTCCCCATTGGTTTTGTCTATGAATATAAGCCTTTTCTGGACCCTCTCTTGAACTCTTAAGGTTTTTTTCTGTCTTGTGGATTTTATTGTCTGTACTTTTATTTATTAATGCCTCTAACTGACCAAAGTAAAATTTTATATGTTAATGACTTAATTATCTTTAGTATGGACAGTCCCCACCCCTACCCCCATCTTCTGTGTTCTCACATTGTGTTTTCATTAGTGGTTAGTATATTCCACTTTTCACATTATATTAGTATATGTGTCTATGTTTGCTTGATTAGAGTTGTGACCATTTGTAGACAAATTATATTTTGCTTGTACATGCTTGTTTCATCTTCACAAATATGCTGAAATGTTTGCATTAAATCAAAGATGAACTGTAGTTCATTCTCTGAAATAGACTTTTCAACTATGAAAACTGAGTATTGGATTTTAGTGTCTCACTATAGTCTCAGAGAATTGGTGACTGTAAAAAAATTAAAATAAGTAACTGTTCTAAAGTTTGTGCAGAAGTTAGTGTCAGTTACAAACTAGGCTGGCCTCTCAAGCACTACTTTATAGGAAGTAGATATACTGTTCCTTGATGCTCAGTCATATATTTGACATTGCTGGGCAAGCTATATTTGTATATTTTCATTGTTCGGTGACATATAGAGTTATTGAAAATCACAAATGGGGGGCTGGAGAGATAGCTCAGAGGTTAAGAGCATTGTCTGCTCTTCTAAAGGTCCTGAGCTCAATTCCCAGCAACCACATGGTGGCTCACAACCATCTGTAATGGGGTCTGGTGCCCTCTTCTGGCCTGCAGGCATATACACAGACAGAATATTGTATACATAATAGATAGATAGATAAATAAATAAATAAATATTTTAAAAAAAGAAAATCACAAATGGATCTGGAATAAGTGAGGTAGTAATGACTTTATTTGGATGGTAAGGCGGTTATATAGGGTCCTTTTTCCAATGTTTTTATGACTGGTCTTAGTACACTTAGTATACTTTACTCCTAGTCATTTGGTGAGGGCTAGTATAACAGTATTTGAGAAGGGGTTAGGGTCTAGTGGTAGGTGTTTCCCCTTAGTATTAAATACACTGCTGTTTGATGGCTGTTTACTTGTCTCTTGTATTTCTTATCTATGACGTATAAGTGCTAATAACAGTACCACAGGATTGCTCTAAGAGTGTGGAACTATGGTACCTGGCATATGAAAGAAAAGTTCATGTTTCAGATTCTGCTTTTCCCCCCCTTTGGAAAAAAAAAATCTGCTCTTTAACCTTGTTATGTATGTTTTTTTTTGCGTTTTTTTTCTACATTAGCATTTTTTTAGTGCTGAATCTATAAACCATGGGGGTGATTCTTGAGTGTTACAGAATGTAAAACATTTATGCTTCATGTTCTATTGCAGTTTTAGGATAATAGGTGCAGCCACATCCGTTATTATCCAGCATTTAGCTGGTATTAAAACTTTGTGGACTTGACTTCTGTGTAGTCACAGGACATTCACTTTTTCTCATTAAGTGCTGTTTTTGTTTGTTTGAGACAAGGCCTGACTCATAGCCTGGGCTGGCCTTGGATTCCATATGACCCTCCTGCTTCCCCTATGCTGGGATTATGGGTAGGAGTGGTAACATTACCAGATGCTATGTGTTGTTTTTTTGTTTTTGGTTTTTTTTCTAAATCTCCCCTGCATCCCCAGTAGTTTATATAGTAGTTACTAATAATATGTTTGTACACACACACACACACACACACACATAAATAAAATTTGGTGGTTTAAACATCATAAAACTGTGGCTTTTTAAGATTTATAACGTATCAATAATACATAGATTTACCCTTCTAATGCAGATAGCTTGGTAGCACACTATGCTGTTTGTGTATATCTATCTACTTCTTCCCCCGTTCCCCCAGTGGTACCTGATATGAAGGTTTTTGTTGTTGTTGTTTGTTTTTTGCTTATTTTTTTTTAAAGTCTTGCTGTATAGCCCAGACTTGCTTCAGTAGCACCAAGGCAGCCTTTTCCCCCCCTTTTTTCTTTTTTTTCTTTTCTTTTTTTCTCCCCCCTAAATCAGGGTTCTGAGTGCTGGGATTGAAGGCGTGGACCATCAACACTCAGTGCCCAAACTGGACTTAAACTTGAGGCAGTCATCTGCTTCAGCCTCCTGAGTGTTGACATCACAGTTGTTCTGTCCTGTCTGGGTTTAAGGCTCCTCCCTCCCTTAAGACAGGGTTTCTCTGCAGTCTCCCAAAACACTCTGGAGGCCAGACTGGCTGGTCTTGAACTCATATCCTACTTGCCTCTGCCTCCGAATGCCAGGATTATAGGTGTGCCTCACCATTACCTGGCTTATTTAAATACTTTTAGTGGGTTGAATACTCTTTGAACTCTGTCCTGTTCATAATCTTGCCTACACCCCTTTATTTGTACAGCTTAAAAATTATAGATGAGTGCTTAAAAGATAAATTTGTATTGTTAAACTCTATCTATCTATCTATCTATCTATCTATCTATCTATCTATCTATCT